ACATCTGCACTGGCACTCGTACTACTACTACTACTACTACTACTGCTATCCTGCCCTCTGTCCCACCGCACCTTTCAAGGACTCTTTCCGCATGCATTCCCAACTAGTGGAACATGGGAGTGCCATTATGGAAAGTAATAAACAAGAAAATGGAATAACTAAATTGCTTTCAGACTGAATCCTAGATGCCCTTTGCCGGTATCTGGGATTAGCATTTGCTGCCCCGGCAACACGCTCCAAACTGAAGGCAGAGACTTGTAAACAAAACTATAAATAAACTAAATGCGAGAACTAAAATAATACATTGTGAAATGCTGGTGGGACACCTTCTGAGTGAGTGACATCATTATGCTAATCACTTTACAAGCGTATGCATTGGCAAAAGTGCGAGTGCTTGCTCGCAGTATCATTTAGATTCGAAGATAATGAACGACTTAACCGATACGGCTGTCAGATAAGAAGTCGAACACGAATCGAATGCATGAACTTTGCACTGAGCCAGAGAATTGCAAAAGAAAATTTGGAATTACAGCTGGCATAAATATTTAAGCAATTCTGAAAGAAAAATATATAATAATATATAATGAGCTGATTGATTTGTAAGAAGAAATAATTCCAAAAGAACATCTCGTCATTCATAGATTCAAAAATTAAGTGTTCGCGCCTCTCAGCATTTGAGTATGCTGTGAACCCTAAAGAGAGCGCGTTAAAACAGCTTCCAAAGCTCTCTCCATCCATCGCAGAGGGCGCCAAATGAACGCGCCTCCCAGAATTGAGTTATGCTGTCAACCCTAAGCCACCAACCATCGCTTGCATAAACTGGCGCATCTACATATGTATGTATATACTGTAACAAAACCAAAACAGCTGCTGCCAAAGCTTTCCGTTTGACAGGCGGCAAGCTCTCGTCCAACGCAGAGGGCGCCACCAGCGGCCAGCTGCTCCACAAGCAAGAACAAAAAGCATGACTATGCGCACGCTAAAACACACAAACAAAAAATAAAATACGCATGTATGACCTTCGTACAAGGTGACTGGGGCAAGAGAGAATAACTCAGAAGAGCGCCAGAGAGCGAGGGAGGAGAGTGTCCAACATAAGAACGGTGTGCCAGAGAGAGAAAAAGTGCATAATGAGGGAATGCAAGTGACGCTTGGCGCTGCTACGCTCTGGGAGAGCTGGCGGGAGAGCTGATAAGAACCGCGCTGTGTGTGTCACTGGGAGAACACAGGCGCCAAAAGTGAGAGCGAGCGCGAGAAAGCTTTGATGGAAAAAACAAAAGCTGCTGGCACAGCGTCGTCTGAGAAGTGCTCCGGAATTTGCAGCGAACGGTCCTCTTGGTTTCTTGTTCGATTCTTTTCGCATTCGCTTTTCCGTTTTCCACACACGCGCACCCACGCATCGGAACAGAATCTGCCTATAAATATAGTATATATAAATTGTAAAAAAGAGACATTTACCGTATATAACTAGGACAACCATGTCGAAGCCCCAATCGGACGCGGATCGACGCAAGCAAATCTCAGTGCGCGGCATAGCCGAGGTGGGAAATGTGACCGAAGTGAAGAAGAACTTCAATCGCCATCTCCACTACACCCTGGTGAAGGATCGCAATGTGGCCACGCTGCGCGATTACTACTTTGCCCTGGCGAACACCGTCAAGGACAACATGGTGGGACGCTGGATACGCACACAGCAGCACTACTACGAGAAGGATCCCAAGGTGAGTTTGGATGACAATTAACACCCCCCCCCCACACTCCCACTCCACCCGCACTCCAGGGCGGTCTATTGATTTTACGGCACACCTTCATGGAAATTTCCATGCAGAGAAACTCTAACCCTAACCTAACCTTGAACCCGAACTTTGTGCGCTCCAGGCCAAGCGACTCCCTAGAAATTCGATTTGAATTAACTTGAAATTCCATTTTTTTTTTTGGCTATTACGACATTTTCTTTTTGGTGCGGCCTGTTATCCGCCAATTTATTGCGCTGTCCGTTTTGGTGGCCAAATTTATTTTTCTCATCTGCGCGCTTGTTGCACTTCTTTCGCTTTTGTTTTCCTACTCGTTCGCAATTGTCTCTCTGCTCTGCTCTGCCTAATTGCACACCAATTTCTGGCAGCAATGTCCCTTATACTAGAGATCTGTGGCTGCAATGGGATCAATGCCAAAAACGTGAGAACGGAGTGTGACGAGAGAATGCCCGACAAATTGCAATACTTTCACTGCACACAAAATTGAATGTTGTTGTTGTTTGTTATTTATCGAACCCAAAAAGCACAGCAAGATGAAATGCCGGTTACTGAGTGTTCTCCTCTAGCAGCTGATTTGTAGGCTAAACAGCATATAAATAGCCACACAGCTGTCGCCGTGCTTCTTATGGAATCTATAACTACATATAAGTAAATATCTATTAGCTTTGTCGCATCAAATGGTTTTCTTTTGTATGTTTTGTCTTCCATCTCAATTGGCATACAATTTCCTTGGGCGCACATCTGTTTGAACTTTTGTGTGGCTAATGAAGATTTCCGCCTTAGAATGATGATACATTTTGTTGCTAAATTTCTATAAAGTGCGCCCAAGCTTAGCTCTACTTTGCATACATATTTTATTGACAGCAGCCCCACCGAGCGTATCCATCAGATACACAAGTTACTTAGCACGTGTCAAAAGCGTGAGAGCTTTCCAAGAGCAAATATTTTTGCTCGCAGCATGACAACTCTTTGTCCTTGCCTGAATGTCAGCTTAAGTCACTTTCAATTCCGTGGCCACCACTCAATATCTGCCAGATACAACCAGAACTTCACCAATCTCTTAATTATTCATTGAGCACAAATGCTTGGGGCGCCACACCAATTTCAACACCCAAAAAAAAACTTTCCGGCTGCAGTACATACACTTTTTATTTGGGCTCTTTCAATTTAACTAATTTCGTGGGGACACTGTTGTTGTTGCCTCTATGTGAGGCTAGTATTTGCCTGGTATATATGGGAAACAACCGACCGACACACATAATTTCAAGGTCAATCAAAGGTTATTAACAACAAAACGAAAGTGTCTTTTCTCCCCCTTGTCGTACGCCTGACAAAAATATCAAGGAACATTTTTGTATATATATTTCTTTGCAGGTTTTCTCTTATTTTTATTTCGGGTACACTTTTGGGGGAATGGGACTGTTTGCGCTGGCTGCTCGTTTGTCATTTAGCTGAGTCGAATTTTTCCCTTACGTTCAGTTTTATGGAATTTTTATAGATTCGATGTTTATGTTTAGTTTGTGGTGGGGCTACATACAATGCAATTAAGTCACGCAATCATCAGAGCAGAGAGAGTTGGAGTGGGTGAGGTGGAATGGTATCTCATGGATACTCGAACAGCTGTTGTGGCATGTCCAGACTTTGTTCTAATTGAAAGAGCACTTCACGAGTGCCACTCACATTCTATCTATTCCAATCTGCGGTAATTTATGTAAATTGAAGAAAGTTCATTGGGTTTGAGTAACCTCCTCCTCTGCGCTGTGAAAGAGTTCTCTGTCATTTTCCCAAGTGGAAACTTTGTGCCACTGAATCCATATGTTTGCACGACTTATCTCACCTAATGGTAACACAAAAACGTATATTAAACCCCCTTTGGCTATCAGTGATTAATGATTGTTTAATAACGAAACGGCAAAACTATCACATTACCCTGATGGCACTTCCTATGCACATCTGCTATAATTTTACGTACCAGATTGCGGTTATAATGCAGCCAATCTATACATGGAAGCAAAAAAGCAAACAAAATGTATTTATTGTTATCAAAAGCCGCAACAAAACATATGTCTGGGTCAGCACGTTTGCCAAAGGCCCTACTAGCTATGAGAAATAGCCCGAAAAATGTAAAGTTGAATGACTTGAAAAGCTTTAACGAGAATGTTGACCCAAAAATGTATGTTTTGACCGGCTTTCGATTAGATAAGCCAAAGAACGCTTGAGGTAGGGTTATGCTCAGACTTTGGTGCTCATATTGGTGGAATTTATACCGAAATACACTGGAGCATTATTGCGTTAAAAATACTGCCAATGCATTGAGTTGTGCATTACTTCCTTGTACATATCTTATCTGAATGTTTTTGCGAAATGTTTTCTAATCAAAAGTCTCACCCCTTTAACCCCCGCTTCACCTAGACATGCTACGAGTATTATGCACAAACAAGATCCCTCAAACAAATCTCAGACTAATTGGCTGTGGGGCAGCCAGCATGCACCCGGGGTATGCGTTTTATATGATAAGAGAATGTTCGGCGCATAGTCGCATACCTTGAAGCTTCTCACTAGCGCCATTCACTGGCGACACTCTCAACGATGATGCTGATCAGCAGCACCCTAGCATTGGCCAGAGATGGGTGCAGCAGATAGATTCCCATTTCAATTCATTAGATTCATCAGATTCATGCTGTGCATTCAATCATGCAAAGCGCAGCCGGTATGTAATCCAGACCCCACTGATAACTGTTGCTATAAACAATCAAATGGCCTCGTAACATTATGGCAATCAGCAGCAACCGATACGAATCGAATGAATGTAACCTCTATTAATAGTTTCCACTAAGGCTGCCCTGAAATTAGCAAACGATTCCGAGTGATGATTGATAACGCCCAATGTTCTTTTTGGGAGAACTGGGTGACCTTGTTGGGGCGAGCATATGGCATATGCCGGCCCGGCACCGGCATCGGTCCGACATAACTAGGTCTCCGATCGACCGATTGATACTATTCCCTATCAGCAGGCATTTTACAGGCAGCTAAAGCTGTACGGGTGTATGCTGTACAGTTGAGCCTGGGCTCAGGTGGAACAAAACCTTGCACTTGGCAAACAATAATTCACGGGCAAAACAAAACCTGTTCTGTTTGAAAGATTATCTTAATGCACGCCACTCTCTCTCGCCTTTAAACTCTGAATATGCTCTCTTAAAGTCTTTAAAGAAACGCTCTTAAAGGTATTCCAAATCACTGCGAGGCTACAGCATTATTGATGGTTTTATTTTGGAATTTTGACATCGTTTTGATTGCTAGATTTATAATCGAAAAATGTAATTTGAATATTAGTTACAAGCCCGGTATCGACGGGCTGGCGTGTTTCTCAAATTATATCGGTGATGGGGTATCATGTTCTGTGGGGGAGGCTCTGGTGGCTCATCTGCCATCGGTACCAGGACGAGTCGAGGCTTAGGCTCAGGTTTCTTAAATAACTTAATCAGAAGGATGATCGCGAGTATTAAGAGCACGACAGCTGCTCCCAACGCCAGAGTGGTGCGGTGCTCATGCGCCACAGTGAGGACCTTTTCAGTAGCATGGACCAACATATTTTCATCTGCTGGCACCACCACCATTTCCGCGTTTGACCTGTCCAAAGTAGATATAAATATGGCTATAAATATTATGATTTAATATTAGATTTGACTTGGGTTCTCTTTTTACCTGCAGGGAGTTTGTCTTAATGTAGTTTTGGGGTAGCTTCTGCTTGTTGTCGTTTCGTAATAAATTGTTTGAACTTTGTGTTGATATGTTATGGAGTAGACTGCTTTTTCGTAGCTGATTTGATTGCGATTTTAGTTGGAAAATGTGTGCTAAAATGTTTAACAAAAAGTATTCCGCTGAAATACCATTAAAATAATATTAAATACAGAGTAACAGAGTTAATTAATAATTATTTTCTTATTGGTTCCTTTCAGCGTGTGTACTACCTCTCGTTGGAGTACTACATGGGTCGCTCCCTCACCAACACCATGATCAATCTGGGCATCCAGAGCGAGTGCGAGGAGGCCATGTACCAGATTGGTCTGGACATTGAGAATCTCGAGGAGATGGAGGAGGATGCTGGTCTGGGCAACGGCGGTCTCGGTCGCTTGGCCGCCTGTTTCCTCGACTCGATGGCCACTCTGGGTCTGGCCGCCTATGGCTATGGCATCCGTTATGAGTACGGCATCTTTGCCCAAAAGATCAAGAACGGTGAGCAGGTGGAGGAGCCCGACGATTGGCTGCGTTATGGCAACCCATGGGAGAAGGCACGTCCCGAGTTCATGCTGCCCGTTCATTTCTATGGCCGTGTGATCGATACGCCCGAGGGCAAGAAGTGGGTGGACACCCAGAGGGTTTATGCCATGCCCTATGACAATCCCATTCCCGGCTATGCCAACAATCATGTCAACACGCTCCGCCTGTGGTCCGCCAAGTCTCCCATTGACTTTAACCTGAAGTTCTGTAAGTTTTCGATAATGATATTCCACCCTTAGACCCCCATTGATTGATCATTCATCTCGCTGATTACAGTCAACGATGGTGACTACATTCAGGCCGTGCTGGATCGTAATTTGGCGGAGAACATCTCGCGTGTGCTGTACCCCAACGACAACTTCTTCGAGGGCAAGGAGCTGCGTTTGAAGCAGGAGTACTTCATGTGCGCCGCCACTCTCCAGGACATCATTCGTCGCTACAAGGCCTCGAAGTTCGGCTCCCGGGAGGCGGTGCGCAACTCCTTTGATCACTTCCCCGACAAGGTGGCCATCCAGCTGAACGATACCCATCCATCGTTGGCCATACCCGAGCTGATGCGCATCCTCATCGATGAGGAGCATCTGACCTGGGAGAAGGCATGGGACATTACCACCCGCACCTGTGCCTACACCAATCACACGGTGCTGCCCGAGGCCTTGGAGCGCTGGCCCGTGTCCCTGCTGGAGTCGATTCTGCCCCGTCACTTGCAGATCATTTATCACATTAATTTCCTGCACATGGAGAATGTGAAGAAGAAGTTCCCCACCGATCTGGATCGCATGCGTCGCATGTCGCTCGTGGAGGAGGATGGCGATAAGCGCATCAACATGGCCCATCTCTCGATTGTGGGCTCCCATGCTGTCAACGGTGTGGCTGCCATTCACTCGCAGATCCTGAAGGACTCGCTCTTCCATGACTTTTACGAAATGGATCCCAGCAAGTTCCAGAACAAGACCAACGGCATCACGCCCCGTCGCTGGCTGCTGCTGTGCAATCCCGGTCTGTCCGATCTGATTGCCGAGAAGATCGGTGACGAGTGGCCCGTGCATCTAGATCAGTTGGTGGCTCTAAAGAAGTGGGCCAAGGATCCCAACTTCCAGCGCAATGTGGCACGCGTGAAGCAGGAGAACAAGCTGAAGCTGGCCGCCATTCTGGAGGCTGACTATGGCGTGAAGATCAATCCCTCGTCCATGTTCGATATCCAGGTGAAGCGCATTCACGAGTACAAGCGCCAGCTGCTCAACTGCCTGCACATCATCACCCTGTACAATCGCATCAAGAAGGATCCCACAGCCAATTTCACACCCAGGACCATCATGATCGGTGGCAAGGCCGCACCCGGCTATTATGTGGCCAAGCAGATCATCAAACTGATCTGTGCCGTTGGCAATGTCGTGAACAATGATCCCATTGTCGGAGACAAGCTGAAGGTCATCTTCCTGGAGAACTATCGCGTGACGCTCGCCGAGAAGATCATGCCCGCTGCCGATCTGTCCGAGCAGATCTCCACCGCCGGCACAGAGGCCTCCGGCACTGGCAACATGAAGTTCCAGCTGAACGGCGCCCTCACCATCGGCACCCTGGACGGTGCCAATGTGGAGATGGCCGAGGAGATGGGACTGGATAACATTTTCATCTTCGGCATGACCGTCGAGGAGGTGGAGGCTCTCAAGAAGAAGGGCTACAATGCATACGACTACTACAATGCCAATGCTGAGGTCAAGCAGGTGATTGATCAGATCCAGGGCGGTTTCTTCAGCCCCGGCAATCCCAATGAGTTCAAGAACATTGCCGATATTCTGCTCAAATACGATCACTACTACTTGCTGGCCGATTTCGATGCGTACCTGAAGGCACAGGATCTGGTGTCCAAGACCTACCAGGTAAATATTCATCGAGAATTATTTGTATTTAAATCTCTTTCTGAACTCACTTTTCTCTCTCTTTGTAGAACCAAGCCAAGTGGCTGGAGATGGCCATCCATAATATTGCGTCCAGCGGCAAATTCTCATCGGATCGTACCATTGCCGAGTATGCCCGCGAAATCTGGGGCGTGGAGCCCACCTGGGAGAAGCTGCCAGCTCCCGAGGATCAGTAATAAATCAATTAACATTTTTGATATTACGTTATTATTTATGTGCTTTACTTTTTGTCAAAGTCAAAGTCCACAAGTTGTAGGAGCCAAAAAGCAACACCTACTAAAACTAACCAATGGGCATCCCCAATTGTTAATATTTTATTTAATAAAAATCCAAAATAAACTATTACAACAAACGCTCTCTAATCTAAATAAAAGTAATGACGGAAAATACGGAAAACGAATCACAGGAGCAGCGACTGGCTCTGGCCTCAAACCAAATAAAAACACCTCAGGAAAACTTTTAAAGTTAAAAATTATTAAAGAAAATATATGGCAAGAAATTACAATTTGATAGCGAAATGATAACCATAAGAAAGGTGTTGAATAACCAAAACAAAATATAGTGGAATGCTTTTGTTTAGAAATCGGTTATGCGTGTTTAAAAATGAGATCAAAACTCAAAACTGTTAAATGTAAAAACTAATTTAAATTTAATAAAATTTGATTCGATAAAAAGGAACTCATCGAGGAATATATTAAGGTTTTAATGGTTAGGAAATGCAACTGCAGTCTCATCTAATTCTCAGTGATAGTCCAGGTAAAATGTATACTAACATTTAATGGAAAGCTTTCAGCGATTCTTGGTCTGATCTAACGATAGTTAATTAACTTTAAAACAAATCCCTCTGTTTCCCAGCATTTTCAGAAATTTTTGGTTCTAGTATAATTTATTGGATTTCCTTCTCATTTCCGCCTCCAAGACGGTTTATACTATCGATCCCGGAATGTCGTTGGGGTTTATCCTGAAAGACAAAAAAGGAACATCAGTGAATGTATTATTTAGGGGACTACTTGAAAGAACTTACTCTGTTTTATTAAACCTTGCATTTACAAGACCGTAATCGACGAAGATCTCTGTTTCTCAAGTCATAACGGTGATGGGGACTGATGTTCTGTTGTGGCGGTTTTGGTGGCTCAACTTCCATCGGTTCTTGTTTGCAAGGCATTGGCACACGAATATCCAAGAGCAGAATCACATTAGCAGGAGTGGCTGGAGTTGGCTTAGTCTTCTTAGACGTACACACATTAAAGAGAAGGTTTAGCAATAGTATTAAGAACAACACAGCTGCTCCCAGTTCCAGAGTGGTGCGGTGCTCCTTCTGAACCTTTTCAGCGCAGAGAAAAATAGTTTCCGCTGCTGACTTGAAGGACAACTCCACAAATTTCGAGTTGGACTTTTCCCAAGTAAATATACTCATCGTCTGAAATAATATTCGTCGATAAAATGATAGCTTTCCATTGTTCTTAGGTTTACCTTAGATAGTTTTTTCTTTCCCTTTATGGGAGTTTGTAATCGTCGCCCTGTTTTAATGAATTTTTATTGGCATGTGATTTAAAGCTGTTGAAATTAAATGACAGGTCTGCTTTGAACAAAAATGGAAAGGAATTTTGTTATCGATATATAATCTTCTCTAATATACAGACTATTGTGTCTCCGATTGTTGTTTTAACTCCTTATAAACGGTAAAAACGTTTTATAACACATTTTTTGACACTCATAGAAAAAATGAACGAGTTTCATTGCCTTCGTCGCTCATATGAGTAAGAGGCAGATATTCCAGAATATTTCGCTCATCGGAAGGTGCTGATTGGTGGTATGGACCCTGATTCCCAAAATTGGTTAAATAAAAGCTCCCCTTTTGATTTTGTTTGTACAGTATATTGGATTTTATTTTAAAATAGTTGCCTAAGAAAATTGTAAATCATTTAAAAATAAGTTTCGCTTTCTACTGCATTAAATGTTGATGATTGTTGGCTGAACAGACAATTCAGAATAAGTTTATTAAAGTTTAACAAAATGCATCAGACCGATCCGAGAACGGGGTAGATTAGTAGTTGACCCTCGAGGAGCGAGCTGTTTTGATGGAGTACTGCCGATCGTCGCCTCGCGAGCTGCTGCCTCCACCGCCGCCTCGTTCTCTGTCAAACTTCTCGTGTGAACGCTCTCGTGGCGATTTATCCTGAACATATATAGGAAACATTAGCAAATTTATAGTCTTGGGTATGAGTTGAAATAACTCACTCTGTGTCGTTCGCGCTCGCGCAGATCATCTTCGCCATTTTGTGCTAAAACCATTTAGTAAAAATTGTATGTCTTTAAATCTTGATTGTGTATAGCCCTCACCTTCGCGACGTCGCTTGTGATCGACACTGTTGGACTCTTCGGCACGGTCCCGCTTGCGTCCCAGCTTGCGATCCTTGCGCGCATCCCGTTCCTCGTCGGATAGCTTGTCCTTGTTGCGCTCCTTGGTTTTGAGACCACGCGCTTTCTTCACGCTATCGACGAGCTCCTCAACCTTCTGCAATGGCCATAGGATTAATAAGAATCGGCATCCATAAAGCATCCACGAGATATGAGTGTGTGTCTCTGTGTGAGTAACTAATTATGCGTGTTTGTGTGGCAACAGAAAGTCTCTTGTGTGTGTAGTCGTGTCTTGGTTTGGATTTGGAGTCCCTACGATTGGTATGGTTATATATACATGGGTGTACAAGTATCTTTGTCCGCCGCCCTCATCTCGCGATCATCACTTACCCGTGGCACGGTAGCAACATCGAATGAATTAACAACTAAACTGCAGTCGGATGTACCACTCACAGGTACACAGGTACACAGGTATCGCTACGCACACGGCTAGCAGTGTCAGGACAATAGCAATGCAAGGCCAAATCAGTGTCCACGAGGATGGAGAGGTTCGTGTTCTCCACGAATTTGTTTTAACAACAAACTGGGTGCAGAAGATTTGTAACGTGCTTCCCGAAACAAACAGGGTCAATGCCAACAGATGCGCTTTGACTCCAGAGTTGACAGAAGATACAAGTTTTCCGAAGAGAGAGGCAGTAGATGAAGTGATCCACGAAGAGAGAGAATCGACAGATGCTACGAAGCTTCAAGCCGATATAGTTCAGGTGCAGATTGGTGGCCATTAGAGATGGCACCTCCAACGATTGAACTGGGTTTCAGTTTCAGCTTTAGATTATGGTGGGTAAAATGCGACATCCCTCCCACTTTTTGATTGCAGAGCCATTGTAGAGAGTAGTTTTTTCTTTCTGTGCACGACGAATCGAGATATTTAAGCCCGATCGGACACCCATTTTACAGCTTGCTGCTTCCAGTTGCCTGGTATGTATCCGCTCGCCATGGATTTCTCTTCCATGAAGTTGTTCCGCCATATTTGACATGACTCTCCAGACTCCAGTTGATGTTCGAATTGGCGCCCATGTGGATGGAGATATTTTTTAGCATTATCTTATCTTGGCTTGAAATCCAGCTGTTCCTTGAGGTTTATCAGATGACCACTGAAGAACCAATCCAGTTGATTTATTATCCATTTTATAGAATAAATTAAACTTAGTTCTCCTTCGACTTCTCATACTTCTTGATGTGTTGACTGGAAGCGCATGTTAAAAGCTTTACGTTGTTTCTTCGTGCAGATAAAATCACATTCTTTGACGATAATTTCTCCGAGGTTCCTCCTTATTGTGTAGCCTTGTCCGTCTCCGCTTGATTTCCATTTAACGTCTGAGGATGAGGTCCATGCAGTATGTGTAGAACATATTTTGTGGAATGATTGAAGTAGTCAATTTGGAATTTCTCCAATTAAAGTTGTTAAATTTTGAGGTTCAGATTATTGTGTAGATGTGGTTTAGGCTTTCGCAAACAGTGACATCGGTGGTTGTGTTGTAGCGCATTTTGTAGTTTTCTCCAGTGTGGTTCCTGATTTGATTTTCTTTCTTCCCTATCCGTGAATGTTTTAACAGATGATGCGGCAGCTTCATGCAGTTTCTCTGGCAGCCATAATGTGCTTGATTTTGTTGCCGTCAGATTATAGACGATGGATGGATGATTCACTTGCTTGAAGACGTCTATTGGGCGTTTTCTTTCTCTCTTTTCTTGGTTTGTGGCTCTGTTTGCTTTGCGTTTCGTTGGTTTCGTTCGTTGTTTGCGATTTTCGTTTCGGATGATTTTCTTGTTGATTTTTTGATTATTTTATGGTTGTTTTTTTTTGTTTGCTTTGATTTTTTGTTTTTGTAGAAAAAGTTTCCTTTCCCGCAGTTCCGTTTCCGTTGCAGTTCCTTAAATAGTGTCATCTTTTGGGGTCCCAGGTGTTGCGCTTTAGAAACTTCCATTGGTCCATTGTCTTTACAGATATTTACAGTCTTAAGTCTTAAACTACTAAAGCTATTTAACAATACAATAAATTGAGCTATACAAAATACTAAAATTTCATTCAATGAAATTCTCTCTATACTCCATTTTTTTTCTAGTATAGTTTTTGTTTCGGGTTTGGGTCGGGCTTGTTCTTTTTGTGTGTTCGATTGAAGTTTTGAAGATCATTTTGTGTTCCTCAACTGCCGCGAGATTGGGAAGATGTTCAGGAGAGAGAGATGATGGTTTTTTTTTTGGTTGGTTGATGGATGGCCTCCCCCCAAAAAAATCTCTCTCGCACGCGCGCAATCTGCTCCAGATTTTGATCGTCATCGTTGATTGTTGTTGTATTTTGTTGTTGTTGTTGTTGTCTTATCGTACTTATGTCTGCAACCATATGGTACTAACCTTTGAACTGCTCGACGATGATTCCATTTTACGACGCTTTGAATCTGCATGGGAAACAAAATGCGGAACATTAGGAACAAATTTTGGATTTGGCTCGCTCCCTCCCACACTTACCTTTTTCGTATTCAATGGCATCCAGGCTGCGTCTGTGTTGCAGGGATCCATTGCTCTCATTGGAAACAGAGCTCAAATCACGATCTCGATGGCGTCCCTCGTACTCGTCAAACTGTCGATGCTCATTGGTGCTGGCCACCAGATCCACCGTCTCCAGGCCCTCGTGTCGATGGCGCTCTTCGCGTCGCGATGTCTTCTCACGCTTCTGATTGCGCTGTGCGGCAGCCGCCTCCAGTTCGTCCTGACGTTGTGCGCGCTCTCGGGCACGCTGATTCAGCTCTGCTTCGGTACGCTCCTTGTTGCGACTGTTGTTCTCCCGGGAGCTGCGATGGCTGCTGGTGAGGCTGCTGTGCCGCTGCTCGTGCTCGCGTTCACGTTCCGCCTCACGACTGCGACGCTCGCTTTGGCTGCTGCCATTGCTGGCAGACTGGAACTGCTGCTGCTCCTGCTGCTGTTGCAGTTCCTCCTTGTTGCTGCGGGAATGCGACTCTCTGGGTGCTGGCAGATCTCGTTGTTTGCTCTCACGCTCGTTTGTGGACAGCGCTGAGTTGGCGGCGGATGAAGACGGCGCTCTGGTATCGGTGGGTTTCGAGTCGTTGCGCGTGTTACCAGCTGTAAAGCAATAATTAATGGTTATTTTTTCGCACTTTAGACACTTCCAACTAAATCCTTACATGACTTGCCATCACGTTCTTTGCTGGAGTTTGCATTTTGTTCGCTATAGAAGGACGCAGCACCGCCGCCTGCCTTGATGGTCGTGGGCGAGGTAGGATTCTGAGACGCCACCTTATCCGTGCCCGAAACTTTGATGCTGGGACCACTGCCAGTGCCCGGGGCTTCGGGTTCCTGTGACGCTTTAGTGGGCAGTCGCTCTGGCAACTGATGGAAGTCGCTCTCCTTGAACATGGTCGGTGTCTTCAGCTTCAGTTTGCCAATGTAACTGGAGGCAATGACATACAGATCGGGGCGTTTGGTCTTCTCCTCCTCGCGCACTTTGTCCACCTTGCGTTCGATAATCTGCGCGAGTTTGGCCAGCACGGGATAGTGGGGCAGTATGCGCATGAGTATGATCAAGGCATTGCGTATCTGCATAAAGTCCTTCGAGTCTAGGCAAAAGACAATGGCCTTGGTGATCTTATAGTGCCACTTGTGGCACACATGTCGATAGTTCTCATAGCCCACATGATCGTTGGCCTCGGAGAATTGATTGCTGACACGAAATTTGGTAACAAAGCCGGGATAATTGGCACACTCCTTGTTGAAGACGGCCTGATCGGCATGCCAGCGCATCACAGTCTCCAGCATGGCGCACAGAAAGCGGCCATAGCGTGTGGCCTCACCCTCCGTGCAAGAGGTCACCGAGTAGGTAATGTCACAGAAGATCTAATAAGCAAAACAAAAGGGAATTAAAGTTTTATCCTGCTTCCAGGTAGCCCCAAAACTTACCCGATCGTAACACAGCAGCGTGGAAAAATTCGCCGTCTTTAGGTTGTGTATTGTGTGGACAAACTTGGCGCAATAGAGCGCATCCAGAGCAGTGAAAGTGCAGCGCGGAAACAGGCAAAGCTGCAGAAACTGCGTAATGGTATCGTTCTTGGCAGACTTGGCCGAACGCAGCAGGAACCAGCTATCCCTTTGCTCCTGCAGACGCTGCTGTATCTTATCCACATGCTCGTGCTGTTTCTTGCGCTCATCATTGAGCTTCTCCATCAGCGCTATGTACCGCTCTTGCTCCTTTTTGTTCTTTGACTGATTGGAGTCCTTGCCGTCGGCTGCTTGTTGCGCCAACTGCTTCAGTTTGCCAATCTCACGCTGATAGCTGTCGTTGGGCACATGCAGATCGTACATGCTGAGGCTCCAGAAGGTCACCAAAAACTGCGGACTTATGTCCTCCCAGACTTTGGCACTGTGCAACGGACGCACAGACTCCACAATGGGATTCATGATGAGCGTGGTCGCCTCCAGATACTTTTGCAGCTTTTGTGTGGTGGTCAGCTTTTTGGCATTGGGATCAGATTTGCGCAATTGATCGTACTTTTGCTAGGGGGTAAAACCAAAGGAGAAAAAGAATGAGGATACACCCTAAATGAGGCTCTTTCTGCTCTTACATTTATCTGATGCGTGAACATGGGACGCGCTAGGAAGAATGCAACATCCGTGTTGATGTGATACTCCCGCAGCATTGTTATAATCGATGGCAGTCGCTCCACATACTCATCCACCGAATAGGTGGAGCCCAGAAAGGTGCCAAATTGCACCAACGTATCCTGGCATTGATCATATAGATTCCCCACCAGCTTCAGATGACTATGCGCCGCCGTTTCGCGAAAGATCACACAATGCTTCTGCTGTGCCATCAGCAGACAAATGGCCACAGCCAGATCATTGTTGGCCAGCGCCTCCTTCAAACGATTCGATGACTTTTTCGTGTTTCTCACTTGACTAAAGTAACCGGCCTCCCCGCGCAGCTGTTCGCCGCCGCACAAGGCCTGCAGCTGCTCATTGGTCATCTCCTCGCAGGTCTCCACGCCTGCCATCTTGTGCACAATCTCGCGTAGTATCAGCAGATCCAAGCTCTTCTGATGCTTCAATTGATTGGCCACATACTGCAGCAGGCCGCTCAGCTCAATGCTGTATTTCTTGTAGATAGTGCCACAAAACGAGGCCAGACTTTGCAGCCACAAGGAGAGCGAGGTGCCATCGTCTTTGAAGCGGCCACGACCCGTCAGCGTCAACGATTCAATGATGCAATAGCCCAGGCAATCAAAGGACAGGGATGTCAGGAACTTTAACATGTCACAGACGGGCGCAATGAGATTGTCGTACATTTGGATTTGCAGGAGAATCTAATGAAGAGAAAAATAAAAGAAGTTTTTAAAATATATTAATATTAAAGATAAAAGTAGGAGCAAAGATGAGGCTATAAGAAAACTGTTCTGTTCTGTCTCAAGAGTACAAAAACGATAAACATGTCTTGTGCATGACTGATCAATATATCTGATTCTGCGTGACAGGTTGGGTGAAAATATGCCTCGCTATGGCCAAGACATGGAATGTTGCTATGTATTTTGTTATTGTATTAAAGAACAGACTCAGCTCCTGTTATTTTTCTTAATATTTGACAGACTCTTCCTATACTTACATAATCAAACAGCAGTCCGGGAGCACAATGGCAGTACTTGCCCACAAGGCGACCCAATTGCTTGACATTTTCCTTGCTCACGCGCTTCATCAGTGCCTTGATGTCGCGCATGGCCAAGCCACTGCGACGTATCAGATTAGGATGCAGCTGATAGCTATCGTTCTTCCAGCGGGCATACAGGCTGTAGCGATAATGATAGGGGAAGTACTTGAGCACAGTCCAAATCTCCTCGGACATGGAGCAATTATTGTCCAAATACAACAGCGATGGCAGTATACAGGCGTCCATGCAGGACATTATGTCGTAATAGTGTTTCTCCGCATCTGAATTTGGCGGCGGTCCATTCATGCTGTCCACACCCATCTCCACAATCAGTTTGCTCATAATTCGTATCAGTTTGTACATCAGCACGGTGTCACAGTGCATGGCTGGGCCCAAAACATTGGCCATGGGCCACGTATACTTGCGCAGATCCACAAATTCCCGTGCCTGCATATTGGCCACCAGCTTGGCATCATCGTACAAGCGACTGCGACTCTGTTTGCGTCCGGCTGGCGCCTTGAAGCATTTCTTGTAGTAGACATGCTCCACCGAAAAGTGTATGAGTTCCACGATGGCACGAGCAATGGGCTCCTGAATGACCACCGATTGTTCTGGCAGTTTTTGTATGATTCTGTGGGCATTCTCCCAGTCGCCGATCTTGAGCAGAGCCTCGCAGAGTCCAAACTTTTGGTTCATATTATACTTTTCCAAATTGAATAGCTTGACGGCTGGCGGCGGTGGTGGTGGCTCCTTATCGTCTTCCTTTTTGTTGGTGGAGATCAAATTCAATTTGCGCACCATTTCGCGAGCATCAGCCAGTTCGTTCTCCCAGTTTGCTTTGATGCTGCCATCGTTGGGGGTCAGCCAAGAGTACACATCATTCAGTTCAATGACCTCGTGCTTCAGCAGCAGAGCGGTCACATGGTAAAGAGATCGTGGTGTGCGCGAGTCCTTGTAATAGCAGAACTTGTAGCCGAGCACTTCACAAATAATGGCCCCCGTAGGCGTATAGCTGCGCAGCAGTGGTATGAACAGATGCAAACGTTCCGGGTTTGTCTCAAACGATTCAGTTATGATGTCCAGCACGCGATTGGGATCCAGATTAAAGCAACCTTTGGAGTGGTTAAGGATAACAGGATACTTTGCATATAAGAATCGATTTCAGCCTACCTATCAGCGACTTCATTATGTCCATAATGCTCTCGGGTGTGACTGTATCCTCAAAGTCCTGATTCAGCTCAGTTATAAGCTTGGCAAAGCCTTCGCTCTCCTCGCGGAATAGATTAAAGCGCCGCTGCTTGTAGCTGTGACAAAAAGAGACATACAACTAAGTTTATTCTGTAAGAAGTCTCCTCTTTGTTGGTTACTTACTACAACTTGGTTTTGACCTTGATGAACTTGGAGTAGAAACTTTTGTTCTTCACAATTCCCACCTCCTGCAGCGTGTCAATCTCCAGGCGCTCTTTGAGCAAACTCTCTGGCACCACCTTGTCCATTTCCTTGACGAGCTGCACAAAACCATGACGCTCCTCGTGCAGGCCTTCTGTCATAAGGGACGTCTCGCTGTCCAAAATATTTACCACATCCACAATGAGACTAGGGAAATCCTTATGTATGGCCTGGAAAAGCATGTACAATGTAATTGATAATCCTTATGGGTCCTTATGAGGTCCATGGCTTCATCTTACCACAACTTCTGTGAGCAAATTCAGGACAAGATCCTTCTTGTGGGTGAAGCGTATTGCCTGCCAGAGCAGCTCGTATATGGCATTCGAGACGCCCTGCTTGAAGACGCCATTCCGATCGTACACGGGACTGTCGGCACTTTCCTGCAGCTGTTGTTTGAGGTATTTCAAACTAAAACGAAATGTTTAATATTCAGGCTACAGTAAAACGGGGAAGACACCACTACATCAACATCATCATCAACCGACATCGGCAGCCGAACCAACAGCATTAAAAACGCGCGCGTGGATTATGTGTGGTGCCCTGCACGGATGTAACTATCTGTCGTGGAAGAGGAGTTTGTTGGCATTAAACACGTACAATTCACTTCTGCCGGCCTTGTCGAAATGTTTAAATATTTCTGTATTCAGGACATTGTCTGCGCCAGACCCTCCATTTGTGTCGGACGCCGTCGTTGGTGCAGCCGCTGTCGCCGCTACCTCCATTGCCGTCGTCACACTGCTGCCATCGTTCTCCGTCACGCTGTGACTCTTCGACAATTTCTTGAGGCGCCGCATAAAAACTGTTTTATGTTACACGCAGTCAATATGCTGCTCGGGGCTTTTTGCACAATTATTTCGATGAACTTTTGATATTTTTTCTTAATTTTTCACACTTTTCATTTGGTTTTCAGTGTGACCGCTTTCTTATCGATCAAAAATACCGACTGATTTTCATATATATACCGTAAATAAAAACTAGTCGAAAACGGACCTTCGGTGATTGCAGGGCCAACTTTTTCTGTTTGGATTGGAACGTTCCGGAATGAAACAGAACAAAAATAAACATTCCAGACTTTAGGGCTGCCTTGCACTCCGCTTTTCAAGAAAACTCTTTAATACCCAGTGTTTCCTATATTCTCATTTATTGTTTATATAAATAATAAATCATAGGAATTTTTATTAAAGCATATTACAGCAGGTGACAAAAACCAAATCCAACATATTTTAAACTTAAATATTGTGAATTCCTGCACTCCTAATACCCTGTACTCAGTCAGCTGATTGGTAAGACCTGCTATTTCTTTTTTGCGACCGAGAGCGGGGCTATTATAATGATTCCATTCTGTAATCAAATTCTTTATTATTCTGCATTTTCCTCATTTTAGTATGCCCAAAATTGTCAATTACGCATATTTTCGTTGATGCACAGCCGCTGGCCATGAATATACATATTTATGTACATATGTATATAGTTACATTCATTGACACCAACCTAATATACCCCAATACGCCTTAAGTACCGTGTATGTATATCAAATGCAAATTTCGAATATTTCGTAATCGACATTTAGGAAAAGCGTGCAAACCTCGGTATAGAGAACGAACATGGCGCAAAAGAAGTTTGCCATTTTTGCAGTCGTCGGCAGAGCGCATTTGCATGTATACATATGTATGTATGCATCTCGCTCACTCTCACTGGTCTTAAGGCAGCCAGTTTCGTTTTAAATTACATGCTCCTCTTAAAAAGGCTTTGTTATACCTGGTATTCGAAGAGTTGGGGATATATTAGTTTTGTGGTCGAATGAACAGATACATTTTCAGTTGATACGCTGAAATGTTGTACATACATACATATGTACATATGTATGTCACACGCGACACTATACCTGTCCTCTTCTTTTGTTATCTTGTTTTTCTGTATTGTTGATTAAACCCATGGTTAGATCGATACAAAGAAGATAAATATTACAAAAAAACCATATTGGTCTGTTAGGTGTAAAATGATAAAAATAATCTCGCTTCAGTTCAATTTTGTACACCGAATTCTTTTAGAGAACAGAGAAATATCAAGTTATCGTAAATTCTATTCCTATCTGTTTCTCTTTTCCAGTGTGTCTTCGTAGCACGACATGTTTGGCCATGTATCGTAAAGTTGTTGTTGCTTTTCTTGGTGGCTCTCTTTTTTATTGATATTGGCTATTGTTTGTCTATTTTCATTTTCTCCTAAATATATAATACTAAAGATAATCATTTTGGCTCTTTATTTTATGAAATGTGCGTTTTTTTTATTTTAGGCAAATTTGATTGGTTTTTGGGCAGGTTTATCTTGGCCTATAATTCTCTCTCCACCGCTAGTTCTCTTGGCGTCAAACTAGCGCTCACAAAGCACCCCCTACATTCCCTACCTTGACTAAGCGTGTTTTTCACGTTTTTCTTAAGTACTAAACTACATATGTAAGTATGGTCATACATATACTTATGTACATGTATATGTACATGTTGATGCTTTAACGGGTAACTCAATGTCGAGACGCATGGGTCACTTCAACCATTTATTTTTACACAAAGAAAACTTTCATATTATATGAAATCCCCATTGTTCGATTGATAGGAAGAAAGAAACTGCTAGTTGGCTTTTGTTATAAATAATCAAATGATTTTATTGTTTATCTTTTTAGATCAACTTTTTCAGAATTAAATAAACCCATTGTCTTTCTCTGTACGATGGATAGATAGTAATGGGAAAAACACAATTCCTTGTATTTGGGTGGCACTATCTGTGCAACCGTTGCGTATATTTTTGGCCAAAAACATGTTCAATAAGGGCATACTAATTACAAGAATGTATGTGTGTGTGTGTGTACTGTTGAGCTGTGTTGTGGGTCTCCCATGAATCGATGTAGAAATATTCTGCTCTAATCTTATGGTTACAATTATGAATGTACAAATCATTAAATTAAATTCGGACTAAGCGCATTTTTGTCTATGCTCTATGTAAAGTTAGTTTCTCTAGCGTAAACGTGAGTGTAATAACAACAAAGAATTACACATTCTAGCAAACCTTAGCGCAAAGGTTCATTTTCTATTTTGACATCGCACTCGACCAACGAGCTGTCCACAAATCCGTTCAGGTAGCAGTTAGGTTTATAATATGCCTCTGGATCCGAATGCCCATTCTGTTGCTGCTGCTGCTGCTGGCGCAGACGCAGCTGTGCGGCCGGCGCTGGTGTTAGCTTTGGCATCGTTGCTGGCGAATATTGGGGACGTACCGCCGCATCGTTGCGCACCGGCATCGTTTCCTCCCTTTTCAGTTCCACCAAAATGCGGCTAATTTCCATGCGAAATTTAAGATTTCCCATGTCCGAAAGGGACTTCATGTGCGGCATAAGACTGACCAGAAAATTGTAGTCGGCATCGTCTTTGAACGTCGCCATTGACTGCTGACTGCTGACTGCTGGCGGCGCTGTTTCTATCACGTTTGATGCCTGTCTGTGGTTGCTACTTTTGTTATTGCTGTTGTGGCAGTAGCCATTGGATACAGGGCTCTCATACGAGGACGAGGACCTTCGCCGGCAAATGCGTTTCGTGGGCGGCGGCTTGGGCAGCATTGAATTATTCGTTGGCAGATGCATTGGCGACAGCAGTCGCGGCGACAGTTCCACATCGGATCTGGACATGTCCAGGCGTTTCATCAGCGACATATCGGAGCCCGAGTCCTGCGGCTTTACCAGCGACATGTCGGAGCCCGAGTCCTGCTGCTCGGTCGAGTTTCGCTTGAATATGTCGCCCATAATTTCAAAGTCCACCGAATCATCATTGTCCAGATCGATGATAAAGTCATCCATATGTGCCTGATCGTAGTCATTGGAGCACTCGGCCGAATCGAAATCGAATTCGTAGTCCTCTGGCTCAAAGCCCACAAGACCAGAGGGATCGAAAATGCAGCGGAGGAATTCCAGAGGACGAAAGTACGTCCAGTTGGACATTTTCATGACTCCACGCTGTATCTTTCGGATCTCGGAACGGTAGCTGTCTCTCAGTCCCTTGAAACGCTTCTTGCATGTCGTAACTAGAATGCGAGAGGCACGGGCATGAGTATTAATAGAAACGCAGCAGCGTAAACGTACCGTCCAGCTGCAATTTTGCAGACACCTCTTGCCAATGGGACGCCCATTCCTCCTTGCGGCAGGCCAGGCGTATGCTCGTGTCCCACAGTGCACGCCGCGGCCGCACCTCCGCAATCAGGCGGAGAACGTCCTTTTTCATGGGAATGTACAGCTTGGCGTGGCTCGCAAACTTTTATGGCACACAAACAAAAAATTCGTGGCGTGTAAACAATTTCGCTGATGCCCAGCCAGCGAAAAACTTACAGCAACAGAACAACAAATCCGCACAAGCGTATGTTTGTACAGCACTTTCGAACAACACTCAAACATTAATTTAATGAAATTTCATATTATTTTGAATTACAGATCGTGCTATTCGTGTTATTTTAGCGAGAAGTTTCTGCATTTTTTTGCCTCACATCGCGCGTCACTTTGGTCACACTGTTCCGAACAGCTGTTGGATGTGTCAGAAAACGAAACACGGAAGAAAGAAAGAGCAACAACAATTTTATACAGCCGGCTGTGTGATTAAACATTTAAATAAAATCTACCGATGATGCCCAACCAGGGACTGGAGTCCAAGGATGACGAGCTGCCGGCAAATACCCTGGAACTGTTCACAGAACTGGACCAGGTGCTGCAAATGATTGAAAATATCAAATCAATCGATGACGCCGCTTTCGAAAGAGAATTTCAAAACTACGCCCAAGTGCTGTCCCGCTACCAAGAGCAGCCGCACTTGCTGGATCCGCATTTGGAGCTGCTGCTGGGTCGCCTGCTGGCCAAGATTAGGGTGGAGGATTCGCCAGTGGGTGAGCGTGATGCAGCCTTCAAGTATTTGTACATCATCTGCAAGGTGCGCACATACAAAGTTCTGGTTAAATTTATGCCCCACGAGCTGAGCGATCTGGAGTTTGTGCTGGATCTGTTGGGCCAGCAGGATCCCAATGCACATGAGAAATGGGAGACACGCTACATCCTGCTCCTGTGGATGTCCATTGTGGTGTTGAATCCGTTTCACATGTCCCGTCTGGATGCATACGAAACTTCGCCCAGTGTCCCAGCCGTCAACTGTGTGCTGACCAACAATGTGCAGTCGAGCAAATCCACCAAAATGGAGCGCATCTTCGAGCTCTGCAAGCTGTACGTCTCCACCAACGACACCTGTAGCAGCATGGCCGCCTATCTGGCTGCCAAATTCTTCGTACGCATCGACATTAAGGACTTGTATTTGGAGCGTTTCCTCGACTGGATCATTGGCCAGCATCAGGCGGACACGGTGAATGTTAAGTTCGGGCAACTGGCTGCCGTTGCGGCCATTCTGAAGCATGGCAAGCGCGAGGATCTGCTGCCCTATGCGGACAAGCTGCTGCATTGGATCACCTCCTGCCAGTACAAGGATGGCAATGACTTTCTCAAGTACAAGTTCTATGTGAAAATTGTGCAACGTTTGGGTTTGGTGCACCTTAAGCCACGCATTGCCAGCTGGCGTTACAAAAGGGGTGAGTTCTGGCAGTCCCTTTATGGTCTCTTCTTTGCTAAAAAACTTCTCCTTTCAGGCACCCGCTCACTGGCCACAAATCTCAATCAGCACCCGGGCGCCACTGGCGCTCAGTCTGCAGCTGCTGTTGATGGCGCTGATGGGGATGCTGGCGAGGAGATTATTGTGCCCGATGCCATTGAGGAGGTGATTGAGGAGCTGCTGCAAGCGCTGCGCAGTGGCGGCAATGACATTCGCTGGAGCGCCGCCAAGGGTCTGGGCAGGGTGACCAATCGTCTGCCCAAAGAGCTGGCGGATGAAGTAATTGGCTCTGTGATTGACATACTGAATCCCCTGGAGCCGCACGAGGCCTGGCATGGCGGCTGTTTGGCTTTGGCAGAGCTGGCTAAGCGTGGGCTGCTGCTGCCGCATCGCCTCGAGGAGCTGGTGCCGCTGCTAATGCAGGCCTTGTTCTATGACGAGATGAAGGGCTACATGTCCGTGGGTCAGCATATACGCGATGCCGCCTGCTACATGTGCTGGGCCTTTGCCCGTGCCTACAATCCCGACGATGTCAAGCCGTTTGTGCAGAAGATCTCCTCGGGTCTACTCACAGTGGCGGTGTTTGATCGCGAAGTGAATTGCCGGCGTGCAGCGTCTGCTGCCTTTCAGGAGAGCGTTGGCCGTTTGGGCAACTTTCCCTTTGGCATTGAGATCTCAGTCACCACAGACTTTTTCTCCGTGGGCATACGACAGAATTCCTATCTGAATATCAGCGATTTCATCGCACAATATGAGGTATACCGAGAGCCTTTGATCAGCCATTTGGTGCAGCACAAAGTGGGCCACTGGGACACGACAATACGCGAGCTAACAGCCAAGGCGCTGCACAAACTGACGCTCTGGGAGCCCGAGTACATGGCAGCTGTGGTGCTGCCTCAGCTACTGGCCAAAACCGACACCATTGACATCAACAGTCGGCACGGCTGCGTCCTGGCCATGGGGGAGATAACCCTAGCGCTGCGTATGCTGGAAATGTCCAGCAATCCGACTGTTGTTTACCTCTCCAATCAGCGCATTGTGGAGCTAAATGAGCTGCTGAGAAACTTTCAAATGAAGAACTTTTATCGCGGCATGAGCGGAGAGCTGCTGAAGTCCAGCACAGCCGATTTCATCCGCAACTGCAGTCTGGCCCAGCTGCAGGTGACGCCCGACTGCTTGCGTAAGTTGAGTACAAATCTTTCAAGTGAATTCTATGTAAATGTTGCTCCCTTTCAGTGTCCTGGCAATCGGTCATAGACTTGTGCTTGATCACCAAAAACCCAGCCATACGTGAGTCTGGTGTGGAGGCGTTCGCCGAGCTCTGCCGCGCCTACTACTGCGTGGACAATCGCAGCGATCAGAATGAGGCCATCATTAGATCGTATCTGAGGGGCGCTGAAAACGATCTGGATGAGCACATACGCATGGGCTACATAGCCGCCTTGGGTGTGCTGCCCTCGTTTATGCTGCGGCCACATCTGTCTGCTGTGCTGGAGAGTCTCGTGAAGCATTCGCTGACACCGCTGCAGGCAGTACTGGCTGGTGATATGGTCCACCAGGAGCATGAGAATATCCAGACCTATCGCTGGAGCGAGGCGCGCATGGAGAGCATTAAAGCTTTGACCAAGGTGGTCCAAGCTGTGGGCTATGAAGGATCAATTGGTAACAGCCCAAAATCTGCCCCAAAATCTACAGTTAATAACCTCTTTGTCCCCCCCCCTTAGACACCTTTTCGGAGCCCGCAAACTTCGACAAAGTCATCGTCTGCCTGCTGCGTGCCCTGGAGGAGTATACGCTGGACAATCGTGGCGATATTGGCGCCTGGGTGCGTGAGGCAGCCATGCAATCGCTCTACCAAATAATCACTCAGTGTCCACCGGCTATGCTCTCGCCCGAGCATGTTCATCAGATTGTTGTGGGCTTCATGCAGCAGGCGGTGGAGAAAATCGATCGTACGCGCGGTCTGGCCGGACGTCTTTGCTGCAAGTTGATCCATGCCGAGCCACGCATACCGCATATAAGAGAGCATGAGAAACTCCTGGAGATATTCCCCTCGGATGTGAGTTCCGTGCTCTGGCTGTTTGCCGATCACACATTCCCCTTGTTCTGCCAGTTGCTGGGCCTGCCGGATTACTCAAAGCGCGTGCTGTTGGGTCTAACTGCCAGCATTGGCCAACTGACGGAATCTCTGGTGAGTGCGGCCACTGCAACCGTCTGGGATTCCCACTGATTTCTCCCTTTTTCAGATCAAATATGCTTCCACAGCTTTATTCCAATTTTTACGTTCCAATCCGACGATGGTGCCGCGCCTGTGCGCGGAGATTGTGGAGATCTTTCAGGAGAATTTACTGAATGAGCGCGTGACCTATCCCATGTTGAGTTTCCTGGACATACTCATTGGCTCGGGCACCACGGACATGGTGCTGCATGACGAGTCCAATTCGTTTGTCGAGGACATCTATCGCCTGCTCAATCTGGAGGTCAAAGGTTACAAGAAATTGTACAAGACAGCCACGAGCATCAGTGCCTTTTGTCAGCTCATCCAAGTGCCGCGACTCAGCAAGCGTGTGCTCTCGAAATTGTCAGTATTCCTGGGACTGCAGCATGTCCATGTCCGCAAAACGGCGGCCACAAAGCTGTACGAGGCATTGGCACTGCATGGCGATGTCACCGATATACCCGAGGATAATATGGATGAAATTCTGACACTCCTCTCGGAGACAGACTGGACCATGCCCCTGGTGGAGGTGCGTCCGTTGCGGAATCAACTCTGCCAGTTGATGGGCATTAAGCCACCACTCAGTGGTGCAGCAGCAGCAGCTGTAGCAGCCTCTGCAGCTGCAGATAAATGAATTTCAGCACAAGTTTAACTTATTTATTTATCCCTGTGTATTAAATACTCTTACTAATATACAGAACTAAACCTAAACAACAAAGCAGTTTCTGGGAGCTCTATAAAAATATAGTGTGCTGGTATGTTGGTATTTAGTGTGGTACATTTCATCATTTATTTGGTATATTACGATATATTTCCGAAGATCAGTCACACTAAACACACACAAAAACCAAATAAAATGATGATTTGATTTAATAAAACATAGCAAACATTGCATATATTTCAAACGCATATCAATTAAAGTGACGCTATTTTCACACAGGGCATTTTGTGCCATTGAATTCGTTTTGTAGTCTGCCACTACAGTTTATTAGTTTCACATAGTTACACAATTTTTGATCCCACTGTGAAATCTGCGGTGTGGCCTCAACTATTTTGGTGGAAAAGTTGTGGGGCCTCTGTGTAATATTGAAGATGAATCTTTGGACTGCCCGAATGGTCATGCACAGCTTCAGCCGGCAGGCTCATATACTGGCCAAACACAGAATCAGAGTGCAGGCATCGCAACATGCCGCGCCGGTATATGGTGAGTGTGTTGTGAGGTTATGTCTCGCAGGCCGTGTCCCGGAATCTTCATGTTTTTCTTCTTCGTTTTGCAGATCTTCAACGCTCGTGTCATGGAAAATTATATGAAATGGTAAAAACGCGCTCGCTTCTGGCACGCACTAAATCTAAGGCTCAGAAATACCCGAACCAAAGTGTTTGTGTGCATAGATACATGGAGGAGGAGGAGGCGGAATACGATACCGATGTTAAAGGGTCTCCTCCTTCTCAATCACCGCCTCCGCCTCATTTGCAAGACAAATTTCAAGAGTACAAAAGCCAAGCGGCTGACCCAAAGTCACAGTTCACAGGGGTACCAATCTGTCTTCTGTCATTCCATCACAGACCCACAATCCAATCCATTCCAATGCTCATTTCACAGCACGCTCTCTCTCCTCACCTTCCAGGGCTATGCGAAGCACATGTCCACCGCCAAAGATGTGCTCAAGTCTTCAGAGTATGACAGACACAGCGCCACTGGCCCACTGATGGACTGCAACAAATCTCAACAAAGGAACAAAGATCCTTGTGAACAGTTTAAGAAAATGCGTTTAGAAAATGAGCAGGTCAAATGTCCGGCGGGTGGAGCAGGCGCTGCAGGTGGTGCAGGTGGTGGTGGCGGCGGCAAGGATTGTGAAGAAGCAAACAAATCGCTTAAATTCAAATGCCTAATGGGTGCCCTGGCAGCACTAGTGGCTGGTGGATTGGTATGTCGTTAACCCATCATAAAATGATTCATTTACTGATTGCTTGCCCTTGCAGATTGCCTGGTTTCTGGCGAGTACAAAAAAAGACAAAAAGTCAGGAGGAGCAGCCGGAGGTGGCAGTGGCGCTGGCGTCATCGAAAATACACCAGAGGGTAAAAAGCGCGCACAGTTGGCAGGACTTTTAACAAGTGAGATTGGGAAACCATTGGATTGGATGAAGAGTTTTATTCTTCCTCGTTTTGCAGGTCCCGACAGCTCTGAGAAGCTGCCCAAGCATGTGCCTTATTTGATCATTGGCGGTGGCACGGCCGCCTTCTCTGCTTTCCGCTCCATCAAGTCGAACGATGCCAAGGCCAAGGTTCTGATTATTAGCAATGAAAACCGCAAGCCCTATATGCGTCCACCACTCTCCAAGGAGCTGTGGTACACGCCGAATGCCAACGAAGATCCCATTAAGGATTATCGCTTCAAACAGTGGACTGGCTCCGAGCGAAGGTGCGTATTTCGGTCTTTAAACTTTTCTTTTCACATTCTAAGCCACTTGTTGCATCCCTTTTAGCTTGTTCTTTGAACCGGATGAGTTTTTCGTGGATCCCGAGAAGCTTGAGGACAGTGTAAACGGTGGTATAGCCGTCGCCCAAGGATTCGCAGTAAAGAAGGTGGATGCCCAGAGTCGCACTGTGACATTGAACGACGGTTATAAAATTACTTACAATGAGTGCCTCATTGCCACGGGCTGTGCACCCAAGAACCTACCCATGTTCCGTGATGCAGCCCCCAATGTGCGCGAAAAGGTGATGGTCTATCGCACACCCGATGACTTTGATCGCCTGCGACGCTATGCCACCGAGAAGCGTACAATTGCGATTGTGGGCAATGGTTTCATCGGCAGCGAACTGGCCTGCTCCCTGGCCCACTACTCAAAGGAGAACGGCGGTGGCAAAGTCTATCAAATCTTCCAGGAGGGCGGCAATATGTCCAAGGTGCTGCCCAATTATCTGAGTCGCTGGACCATGTCCAAGATGAAGAATCAAGGTGTTTGTGTCATACCCAATGCCAGCATCAAGTCGGCCACCAGAGACGAGGAGTCGCTCAAATTGGAACTCAACAATGGCATGACACTGCTCTCAGACATTGTGGTGATTTGTGTGGGCTGTTCCCCAAACACGAATCTGGCATCGCCCAGCAAACTGGAGGTGGATCGCAGTCTGGGTGGTTTTGTGGTCAATGCAGAGCTGGAGGCGCGCCGGAATTTGTATGTGGCTGGCGATGCCTCATGCTTTTACGATCCTTTGCTGGGCCGACGACGTGTGGAGCATCATGATCATTCGGTGGTCTCGGGCAAGCTGGCTGGCGAGAATATGACGGGAGCAAGTGAGTTTCCTCACTCAGAGTTTTCAGTAAAGATTTCCATTGTGCATCTTTCCTTCCTCAGAGAAACCCTATGTCCATCAAAGCATGTTCTGGTCAGATTTGGGTCCCGAAATTGGCTACGAAGGCATTGGCTTGGCGGACTCTTCACTGCCCACTGTGGGCGTCTTTGCCCTGCCCTCTGCCACCGAGGGACGCTCGAGCACAGACAACTTGACCGAAAATCGAGACGCAGACGATGGCAGCAAGCATACAATAATTGTTAATGAGAAATCCCAAACAGATGCGGTGACCTGTCAGGATGATGCCAACGAGGAGCAGCCCAACTATGGCCGTGGTGTTATCTTCTATTTGAAGAACGAGAAGATCGTGGGCGTTCTCTTGTGGAACCTGTTTAATCGCGTAGGCTTAGCTAGGACAATAATCAATCAAAATAAGAAGTACGATGACCTCAATGAGGTTGCCAAGTTGTTTGAGATTCACTCTTAGTAGTGAACATCCCAACCATCACCTGCCCAACACTCCACAAAAGAAAACTATGTGTACATATGCGAACAGAAATTTTAGTTCTAGTTTTTCGTTGTTTTTTTTTTGGAGCCCACCCTTTAGTCAATCACTCCCACAATAAATGCCCAGAATTGATAGATACATAAAGCGAAGGTATGTATGTAAAGTGATGTGACGAGGACATGTGTTGAATTTTCGTGTGTGTTTTCCCCTAATAAATTATCCTTTAAAATGTTACATACCTGGTTTTGGCCATAAGGGTAATAAGAACTTGCGCAGCTGCTCCAGAACAGCAGAGGATTTGTACCTAAAACTAGGACCTCTGCTTATTTGGGGTCTCGTTCGCGGGATTAGCCAATTTATAGCTAAATCTCGAGGTATCCCTAATAGGCAAAGGTCTCGCGGATTTACCCAATTGGTAGGTAGATGATTGAGTCTCTGTGCAACAGGTAACTCCTTTTTGTACTATAAAAACCTTGCGCTAAATGCAAATGGACATCAGTTCCTTGCCAACAGTCCAACTATGAAGTACCACCGCGTAATGAACAAAGAGAAGAGCAGCAAGACACCCTCGCCAGTCAGGAGGGAATCATCAATAATAGCCATCTCTGAGGCGAAAACCAACCAGCATTTCGATGTCCCCATGTCGTATGGTGCCTTGGAAATGGAGGCTGCCGCTGCACTGCTCTTGCTACGCTATCAGTATGACAGACAGTCGAAGCCATTGAACTCCACTGCGGTGACACGCTCTCCCACTCCGCCGCATCTGCTCGCTGACAAGCGCACGCCCAAGGATCAGACAGTGCGCACTCCAGACTCTGTGCAACCGCTGAAGAAGCGTTCGATACCCACGCATCTGCTGAGACGCTCGCTGACGCCAGCCAAATCGAATGCCAGTGGAGGATCATCATCGATTGTGAAGGCCAAGTCGCGTTTGACGCCTGTGCCACGCCGCATCGACAATGACTGCAACAAGGTGCTGCTCAAGTCCTGTCGCAATATGATACGAGAGTTCCTAGACAATCAGGAACTTATTTAAGGTGATAGAAGTAAGGTGCATCGATGATCCATAGGATCTCCAGTGTATATCATTTTTTTCATTTATTTATTGCATATAAATTTGTTTCCGTTTTTCTTGAATATTTTTTGTATACACATAAACTATGTATGTATATGTATTGATCGAAAGATATAATCTGTAAAGGTTTTTGTTTTGTTTTTTGCAAATGGAAGAACAGGTATTGTGGCGACACTAGAGTGCTAATTATTAGCTATTGGCGGTGTTTAAACTTAATGCGTAAGCGAAAAAAACAAATACAAAATATATATATATATGTAAGTGTATGTGTATGTACGAAAAATTAGATGTACTATATAAGATCTATGCAATAATTAATAATAATTACAGGCACTAAAAGCTAAGTTGGATGAGCGTGCGTGTGGTATGGATCTTCATTCCATTCCATTCTCCATTTTCATTTCATTCATTTATGTTTCTCATTTTGTTTAATATAATTAATAAAGTGTGCTGCAAAATGTACAAGAATTTATATTGATTTTTAAGGGGGTTTTGTATGGGGTGCAATTGTTTTACAAACTAAAATTGTTAATGCTTAAATGAACACTTTTGCTTGTTTTGCTGCAATTCCACAGATCTTCCTTAGGGGTGGGGGGCGCAGCCGCTTACAAAACTAACATACGAATTATATAATAATAATAATAATAATCCTAGGCATAATGTTTTTAATTGAAAACTAAATGTGCTTATATATATTATATGCTCATAATCATTGCTATAAAAATGGAAGCCAATGTTTCTTATCTTCTTCATGTTCTTGTATCTAAGGGCTAAGGGGGGTTTCTCCAATTGAAATTGAATTTTGAAAGCTCTCTGGTTGCAGCTGTCGAGAGAGGCAGCAGCAGTTGGCCACAGTGTGGAGGAAACTGTTTCAGTTTCCACTTCATGGTGTTCCCATATCTGTTTTACTCCTCCGCTGTGCTCGCCTCTTCGACAGCCAATGAATCTGTTATCACAAGAAATCAATCTCTCTATCTGCTCTTCTCGCTGATTATTTTGTTGTATATCAATTAACAATTTTCTTTTCTTTCTTTCTTTCATATTTCGTATCGTATTTTTAACAATTGTTTTTTTTTTGTATGTTTTGTTTTTCGTTTTCATAAATTTGAAACCATTTTGTTGAGGCAACATTTGTAAAGCTCAAAGGTGGCAACACTTACACGCTAGGGGGCGCTCGCTAGAGTCTACTCGTTACTCGCTACTCGTATGATTGTTGTTGATGTGTTGGGGAGGGAGGTGTGAAAACTTATAATTTAATTCTGTTTTAATGTAGAAATTGGCACATAATCAAAGGCTGCGCTGCGCCGTTTTTTTTGTTTAGTTTTTTCAAGAACTCTACTTACAACAAAAACGAAATTACATGCTCGCTCGCTCGCTCTCTCGCTAGATATCTCCTCTGCTTATCTCTCTTTATCTTAGCTTATTAAATAATTTGATGTATAAAATATATATTTATATTGATGCAAATGTTTTTTCTATGTACAAAAGGCAACCACATCCAGCTAGGGGGCGGGCATAGGGGGTGTTTGTGTGTGTGTGTGTGTGTGCTGGTCCCATTTTTAGCTCAGGTAATATTTGTGGGTGGAAAAGGTGCTTCTACTGCCGCATATGCCGAAACGCAGCTAACGCCTCCTCCGACACCTCAACGCTGCCATTGCAATCACTGCTGTCCATGGGCACAGGCTGGGCCTGCTGATCGCTCGCCTCCATGGGCTTTGGCGAGTTGGAGCCAGCGGGCAACTGTTGCTGCTGCTGCTGCTGCTGCTGCTGCTGCTCCTCCGGCTTGGGCGATTGCTCTGCGGGCGAGGGTGCGGACTGATGATCGTTGTAGCGTATCAGCTTGATGGTCGTCAATCCATCGGCATTGCGTATGAGCCTGCAGGATGGAGATGATGCTTGGTATTAGGAGGCAACAGAAGCGCGTAGGCGGGGAGGCCACTTACGGATAGCAGTCCTCGTTGCTGGCAGCTGCGGCTGCGGCACTCTTGCCGCTGACACTCAGATCCGTGGGCTTCAGGTCCTCGCCGGCGCTGTCTGATCCCGAGCTCCCACCACCATTCTCCAGCTTCAGTGGATGGAATTGAAATTTGTCCGGCCCTGCGGCTCCGGGCGTTTGCAGCGCTGGGGAATTTGGTGGCGCTCCGGCAGCAGCCGCCGTCGCGGACAGATAGTGGAAGGCTCCGTTTATGGCGTGCATGAAGAGCGGCGATGTGGGTGGCGGACCATAGGCGGCAGCTGCTGCTGCAGCCACTGCTGCCACAGAGGGCAGACTCATGGGACCATTACGAGAGGCAGGACGCTGGGGTGATTGCTGTTGCTGTTGTTGCTGCTGTTGCTGTTGCTGCTGCTGCTGCTGTTGGCTCCAGTTCTGGACCGCTGCTGGACTGCTGGGCGCTTGTTGGCCATTGCCTTGCGTCATCCCCTGGGCTCCTCCATTGCCAGCACCCGCCGCAGGTGTGGACTGCCGCAACAGCGATATATTCTTAATGTTCTTCAGCTCCGTGGGATTCCTCAGGAACTGATAGCAATGCCGCTCACCCTGCACTTTGCGCAGAATATTAACGCGATAATAATAACGAAGGGCGCGCGACATCTTGTCGTAGTTCATGGACAAATGATTCTTCTGGATGCCCCACAGCTTGGCCAGCCCGGCGGGATCCACAATCTTGAAGACGCCCGTGTCGCGGCACTTCCAAGCAATCAGATCGCTGTACTTCTGGTTGCGATCGTTCAGCAGCTGCTGCAGAAAGTCCCACAAAAGGCGACCATCTAAAAGGAGAGAAGAATGGTCAGGAATGGATTTTAGAGAGCGTTTTAAATGCTGAACTCACTTGTATTGGGCTCAGAGTTCTCTGGAAAGAATTCTCTTTTCGCTTTGTACATATAACTGGGCGTGGTTGGGGCCGATATGGAGCCTCCGGCGGGTGTCACCACTGGTCCAGCTGTGTTATCCAGCGTCAGCTTCTGTGGCTGCTGCTGCTGCTGTTGTTGCTGTTGCACAGCCTGCATCTGTTGCTGCTGCTGTTGCTGTTGCTGCTGGGACCACGAGTTGACAAAGCTATTCGTCAGCTGCTGCGTCCAATTGGGTTTAATATCCTTCAGTATGGGCGTGCCTGGGGGGCTGGCTGTGCTGTAGGAGAGCGGCGCTGGTGGCATACCGGAGTTTGCCATCTTTGGCTCGGAGGCGGAGTACTCCTCCTCGGAGTCGCTGTGATTGCTACTGGCGCTGCTGATTCCCTTCATAGGCATTGCAGAGCCATTGCTGGCCGTGCTGCTGCCAGAGCTGGAGGAAGCAGGCGCCGATGGTCCGCTGTTTGAAGTTGCCACACTGCTGGATCCACCATTGGATGTGTGTGCCGAGCCCTGAGCTCCTCCTCCTCCTCCGTTCTGGCTCTGGTACGGTGCCTGGGGCGGACTGCTGGCCTGCGAATCAACCGACGGCGGGGGACTGAGCGTCACCGAATTGGGCGCCATAAAGTGATGCGCCGCCAGGTGGTGCGCCGTGTTGTGGAAGGGATTATTGCTCTCGGGCGGGGCATTCAATGGCGGCCATGTCATTGTCGGCGGGTGGCTTTGCGGCGACAGGGGGTAGCGGCTGGTGGGCGTCACCGGGCTGTTGGGCAAATGCCACTGCATCATGTGCGACTCAATGATGAGCATTTGCAGCACATTGTGCAGAACATCCCCGGCGCCGGGGCATCTGTGTCCAAAATCGGCACGCGTCAGCAGACACAGCGCCTTGCCGTTCATCTGGAAGAGATCAAAGTCGAGCTTCGGTAGATCAAACTCGCGCACGCAGAAGCGCAGGAAGACCAGCACATCCTCGCGACTCCACAGACGCGGATCCGAGGGTAACGATGGGGGTAACTGGGTTTTCAGCTCCGCCAGCTGGCTGGACGGTGCCGGTGGGCAGCGCCACAGCACATCGCTCCAGATGCCGGGATTGAGCGAATTCAATGATAACTGTACTGGGAGCATTTTCATTTTGGACATGCAGCCACCTTTAAAATAAATTAATCCTGGACGCGGGACTAGTGGCAGCCACTAGACGGTATCCGTGGTGAGGGGG